AGGAATGCCAGCTCCCATGCAGCTCCACACCGTTTTTATGCCAAAGGTGTCCCTGTCTTCCCCAGAAGTGCTGGCCAAAAGCCTTGACAGTCCCCTGACTGAAGGTATGTTGTGAACACTCCTGGATAGCAGGGCTTTGCACTGCCTTCACTAGGATTGCAAGCCAAGAGATCTTGGCAGAGACATGGGGATGTATTAAACACTCTGTGTCATGCAATGAGGAAAGTTTCCTGGCTGGGTAAATTGAGGTGCAAAGGCATGAAGTGCCCTGTCTAGGACTGTAAAAGCTGATGGTGCCCGAGGCAGGCACTGAGCATTTTTTCCCTCTGGACTTGCAACCTATAGCCTGGCAATAAAATCTTCCTCTTCAGCACTGGAGGGAGAGTGCCTACAGGACATGGCCACTGGTGGCATCTGCAGCCACCCAGCACAGCCCAGCAGCACTCTCATACCAGGGTCTGTCTCATGTGTTACAGCTCGAGCTAGAGTGCATTAACCCCAAAAAGCAAAAGAAGAAAAAGAATTACAAGAACTCTGGAATCATCGTTGTCAAGTCCTGCAAAGTGAGTATGTCAGTGAGATACTTTCTTCAACTCCTGTCTGAGATCGAGTCTTCCCTAGCTCCCCCCATCACTTCTGCCTCTTTTTCCCCTGCATTTCCAAGCACGGGTCCTGCATAGCCTGAATAAAAGGGTGATTTCCTTTCTGCTTGGGTTTCTCTTCACTTGGAGCATCTGATGTACTGAACTGCTGGTTCCACCATACACCTGGGTGGCCACAGACCCAGGAGAAAGTCTTCAGTATGGGCAGAGTCTGCATGAAGTCCAAGCTGAGGGTGCTTACCAACTGCTTGGTGTCTCTTTGGGAGCAAGGGTTGGGTCCAGATGGGAGAGATCCTTCTTCTGAGGTGAGGTGCTGGTGAAATCCTCCCTTCATATGGCAGCAGTACAGTGGGGACAGTGCCAACAGTTCTTCCTGTGGTGGATCTGCAGGTGTTGTGAGACCATTTTGGCCATGAAGAGAGAATCTTCCTTTCAGTTCACCATGATGGACAAGTCCAGCACTCAAGGATCCCTGTCCAGGCCTCCCACCCCACCTTTGGCCCCACACATGGCCCTGCTTAGCCCCATGCAACTCACGTAGCACCAAAACACTGCTGTGGGAGACCCAAATGGTTCTTCCCATTGCTGCTACATGGCTTAAGGTCCCCAAAGGCTCAAACTCACAGTGACCAAAGGCTCAGGCACTTTCTATGCATTTATTTAATTTGTTCCACAGTGGTGACAATTGCTGAAACACTGGTTCTTGGTTTTTCTTTCAGATAACCAGAGATTTCTCCTTTCTGGATTACATCCTGGGAGGCTGCCAACTGATGTTTACTGTAAGGACTTTTGCTCCTTTTTGCCAAGTAATAGTAACACATGTGTAATGGTCAGAACTGGGGAGGATGGTTTTGCATGAGATTTGGCACCAGCTTGGGTGGTTTCTCATGGCAGTGAGGAGCTGCCCCGTTGTGCTGTTAAACCATGTGGGTTTGAGGGTTTTGGGAGTCATTACTGTGATGCTTAGGAGAGAAAGGAGCTGTCTGCACTTTGGTTGAAGGTCAGGCTCACACGAAGACCTTCTGACCCTTCATGAAACATCATCAACTTCTCTCCTCATCTCAGGCTCTAGCAACCCTCATTTTTTATGGAAGTTCTCTTTATTTTGAAGCCAGCTGAGATGCTTTGGGTGGTCAAAAAGATATTTTTCTGCCTTTTTACTGGCATTTGCACTGTGTTTCAAGCTGGACCACAGCTAGTCAGGAGTAACTAATCGAGGACATGACAACCCTGAGTGAAACCACCACAGCACAGAAGTGGGGTTCTCAATTTCTGCAAACTTTCCTGGTGCAGGATCCAGAGAGCTGTGGGCACTTGCAGTTAGTTCAGTTTGTATTTTGTTGTTTCATCTGAAAACATGATGGGGGGAGAGTAGGAGGAGGAGGAAGGGTTGCCATAGGAACAGGAGCAATTGGGAGAGCTTTTTGTGTGCTGTTCTGTGTGCTTTGGTCTTGGTGCTGGAGAGTGAATAAAAGAGAAAATCAGTGAGTTTATTGGCAGCACAGAGCCCTTGTGTGAATTCAGTTTGAATGCAGAAATCTTCCCCCCATGTAAAGATCTGCTGGTTATTGGAGGGCTCCTCCTTCTCCCAAGGCATCTTTGGTCCAAAAACCTGAGAGTGTTTCCAATGGATGCAACACTGCAGAAACACCTGAGCTGGGAGGAGGACACTGCTGTACACACCCCTGCAATTTGGAAAGGCCACTGGTGTCCTCATCACCAAGGGAGATGGTGGGGAGAGAAGGGCTGAAGCCACAAAGAAGAGGGGCACTGTGCCCAGCCTCGTGCTGTAGGCAGAGCAGCTGCATCCCTCTCAGATCTGTTGCTCAAGTGCTGCTCTTGGTGACATTGCTTGCATGAGCAGGGCACCTGCCTGTCTGACCACACTGAGCCCTCACTCTCTGCCTCAGTTTCCCTCTTACTCTCTGACCATGGTGGCTCAGCAGGATCTGGGCACAGGGGTGTGGGTGTTACAGTGGTGAACTGCAGGTTGGTGAGGCTCTAAGGTTGCTTGACAAAGAAGTTGAGTTTTCACAGAACCATAGGATGGTCTGGGTTGGAAGGCACCTTCAAAGATCATTTAGCTCCAATCCCCTGCCATGGACAGGGGCAACTTCCATGAGCCCAGGTTGCCTCAAGCCCTGTCCAGCCTGGCCTTGAATGCTTCCAGGGATGGGGCAGCCACAGTTTCTTTGGGCAATCTGTCCTAGTGCCTCATTACCCTTATTGTACATTTCTCCCTTATCTCCAATCCAAACCCACCCTCTTCCACATCCCCTCGTCCTGCCATGCCTGTTTTACCAGCCACCCTTGCACAGGGTGGTGTCACATCCTAGGCTGTGATGTCTTCTTGCCCTGGCCAGGCCAAGGTCCCTTCTCAGCCAAACTGCTGTTCATCCTCTCCCATTACGGATACGGAGCAAAATCCCTCGTGAAATCCCTGAGCTCAATTTAGCCAGTGGAGTTATTTTGGGTTTTGCCTCTTTGCTAAGCAAACAAGGCGAGCGCAATCACGCCGCCTGCTCGCCTCTTCCCAACTCTTCCTTCCCAATCATATCAAATCAGGTGGCTCAGCATCTTGCCTCTTCTGGCCAGATTTAACTGGGTCTGAGATAGGCATTTCTACAAATGCCTTTAAATAGAAAGCCTAATTGAGGAGGGAGAAAAATGAGTGCCCTGCTGACTGAGTCCCCTGAGAGCTCAGCATATATTGGTCCCTGGGGAAGCCTGGTGAGGAGCAGATCTTTCTGGCTGCAGGGAAAGATCTGCTCAGGTTTGTGATTCTTTGGTCAAAGACCTTGAGATCCAAATACCCAGATGGCCTTGGCTGTCTTGGTGTCCATGGGGCTACTCAGTTCCTGTGCATCTGGGAGATGGGCAGTGAGAGTCCTGAGCTGGAGGTGGTGGTGGTTTTGCTCCAGGAGCAGGGGCTGCTTTGGGACACCTAAAGTGATGCTCACTGGTGAGAAGTGGAGGTGTAAGAATGAATGGCTTTGCCTAATGTAATATTTAATCAGCTTGTTTGTAGGGAAGGGGAAGAGATGGATTTTTGTTAAAGTTTTTCGAAAGTTTGAGGTTTGGGTTTTGATGGAACTGTATGGGGGCTTTAAAGGTAACCAGGTCTGTGGTAGCACCTGCTAACAGAGGATGGGTCTGTGCTTCTCTCTTGTCCCCCAGGTTGGGATTGACTTCACAGCCTCCAACGGGAACCCACAAGAACCCTCCTCTTTGCACTACATCAACCCCTTGGGAACAAATGAGTACTTGTCGGCTATCTGGGCTGTTGGCCAAATCATCCAGGACTATGACTCGTAAGCACTGTGCCCTTCTGTCTCCACCCGTTTTGCAGATGTTTCCCTGGCTTCCCAAAGGGCTGCTGAAATGCATCTGCCTTGATTTCCCATCAGCAAAGCCAGGGCTAAATAATACCTTAAAGGTATTATTATCCCAAGGAGGTTACAAAGAGCTGTTTGAGATACATTGGGATGCAGGAGTAGAAGAGGATCAGGACAGGCTTTCTCCTCTCCCTGCATCGCCACTGTGGAGAGCAGGGAGCATTAGCAGAGGTGGAGCATCCTCTACTGGGGGCAGCTGGCAGATGCCCTGAGCTCCTTGGTGTTTACCATTGGAGCTGTGACCCCAGGCTGCCTCTTTTCTCAGACACCCTGAGGGGTGGAGAAAACACCAGAAAAATATAATCTAAGACATTGATAGAGAAAACAAAACAGAAATCTGTTCCTCTTGTCATGATGTGACCAAAATGGATAGTTCATTTTTTAAAGATCTCTAGGGTTACACATCTGCAAGAGACTCAGGTGTTTGGGCAAGAGGATGTTTCTGATCCCTGTGGATAACAGAGAAAAGCTGGATTCTCTTTTCTTTAAAGATCAAAAGCCAAGGGGGAACATCTATTCTCTGTTCAGCTCCCAGGATTTTTAAAGGCACTGCAGTGTTTTGGGAGAAGCTGTGCAAGCCTGCTTTGTGTGTGTCAATGCACTCATATGTTTTCTTTCCTCTCTCTAGAGACAAGATGTTTCCTGCTCTGGGATTCGGTGCCCAGCTCCCACCAGACTGGAAGGTGAAGTGTTGTGACTACCTGTGTATTTGAGACGGGTTTGTCCTGATATTGCCCGGGCAGGAGTGGAGCTGCCAGGGCTCAGTCAGGGAAAGGCTGTCAGGCAGAGGGGGAATGGGTGGATATGGGATCTCAGCCAGTGGAGAGTAGGATGTGGCCGTGTGGGTGGGCAGCAAGGCAGGGATGGGGCACGAGCAGCCTATTCCTCCCTTCTATGCTGGCATGAAAGCAGCAGCTCCATGGCATCAACGGGCAGAGCAAGGCGTTGATTCATTTTCCTGGCAGGAGGCAGGAAAAAGGAAAGGGAAAAGGCCCATAGATGAATGTGTCAGACAGCAGCAAAGTCTGGGAGGGGGCTGGGAGCTGAGGAGCTTCAGTGTGATACTGCACAGGCAGAGCCTACAAGGACTGGAGCAGAGGCACTTTCTCCAAATCAGCCTTGATCTTTGCTTGGGATTAGATGCTGAAGGGGTTAAAGGCACTGTGGTCCTGCAAGAGCTGAGCTGAGCATCCTGTTTATCTGGAGGGCAGGGGATAGGGCTGGCCCTGCAGCTTGGCTGACAGGATGAGGAGCATCTTCTCAAGGCTGAGACAATGTGCTGGGACACCAGCATCGTTAATTACTGGCTGGGTCTTTTGACTGCTCTTTGCTCACGCCTTTCATGTGCTTTTTCTTTCTGCTCTCGGGTTTTGAGGCGTTCCCAGCTTGAGGCTGGGGTTGAATCTCAGTGAGCCCTTTGTGTTCTCTGGGAGGAGAGCTGTGCTCTGGGCACAGTGCAGCAGGGCACGTAAGTCACGAGCAGCTGTGAATTGGGCTGGGAAGCTCATCACTGCCAGCCCTTGTGGCTGGGGATGTCCTGCCCGCTCCGGCTTTGTGCTTTTCTCTGCTCTCCCGGCAGCCAAAATTCATATGACTAAAGTGGGAGCTCTCGCTGTTTGCCAGCCACAGGAGGAGATCCCTCCATGTGCACTTTGGAGCTGATTCATCCTCCTTGGCCAGCAAATGTCTCTGGTCTGTCACTTCACCACTTTCAGTGGGAAAATCTAGGTAGGCAACTTCCAAGGTCTAAGAGCCAGCTGCCACCAGGGATTTATTACTTGAGAAGAATGGGAATGGAAAACACAGTGGGAATGGAAAGGGTATGCCAGTTTTGGCTGCTGGGGAATGGGTGAGTTGTCATGGTGAACATCCTGTTTTGCTGCCCATGTGTTTGGGTCAGTGCCCATGGGAAGGTCATCACTGGGCTGGAAACAGCCCGTCCAGCAAGGCTGGAGGCAGGTTGAGGATGCTGCTGGTGACCCTGTGGCTGCCTCCTGCAGCCTCCTGTGGGCCTGGGGGTGCTCTCTAAATGCTACCAGAAAAAGCACATTGTTTGCTGCCAGAATGATGTCTAAGCACAGATAAATCCCAGCAGAGAGGAACTCTCCCCACCAAGTGCTTGGCCTGTGCCTAAAGGTCACCCACCAGCATGACCCATTGGTTATCTCACATTAGCAGTAGGGGCATCCCCAGTGCATCACCCCACACCTCTCCAGCCTGGGACTTCATCCCTCTTTGACTCACCCAACCTGTGGGCTCTTTGCATCACTGGCTCCACTCACTCATAAAGGCTTTTTGGCCATCAAGGCTGTTGGGTAATTTCAAAGCCAAAGCAGCAGTTCTCCATGAAAACCTATGCCCTGTGTGATGGCAGACGGATGTTGGGGACTCACAGACCTGAGTGAAGATTGTCAAGAGATATGTGTGGCATAAATGGTGATTTGTGCTCCTGTTGCCATGACTCCCCCAATGCTTCCCAGGCGCCCGTCGGAGCGAGATGTTTTGCACACAAAAGTCTCGTTGGAAATGTCAAAGAACATCTTGCCGTGTAACAGCTCTGTAGAGAGCCTCGAGTGCTCTCCCAGTAGGGAACAGGAGAGGGAAGCAGATGGGCTGTGGTTTCTGGGGGATGAGCAAAGGCAAGGCAGCAGCAGAGAAGGGAATGCTTAATGTTGTAGCCCCACTGGTCACTCAGGTTTGGAGATGGGGTCAGCCGAAGGAAGCTGATGGCTTCATCAATGTGCCACCCCCAAAGCCTTCTATCCTTTTGACTTTTTATATATATATGTATGTATGTATAAACTGAGTCACAGCAGGGGTGGGATCTCTTGGGAAGGTGGCAGAGAGCCCTCTGCAGGGCTGGTTCTCTGGCATAGGTGCAAGGCACATCCCTAGTTCCTGATGGGAAAAGATGGAGCTGTGGTTGTCTCCACTCAGGACTGTAAGAGGACACACAGTGGCTGCAGATGAGTGTCTTAGCCATTGGGGTGGTTTGAAAGAGTTTCTGCCTGTGAGTTACTGAGGAATGTGATACCTGTAGGTGCTCTGTGTACATTTAACTGGAATCCACAGAAACTGTTTTCAAAGTACAAGCTGAATAGGGAGTGAGATTCTTTTTTTGGTTGTTGTTGTTTTTAAACCCTCCTGTTGAATTTTTTAGCATATATATATATATATACATATATA